TCGCAGCTAAATATTCGAAAACGACCAAAATCCAGTACAACCGCACCTAACCAAATGCCCATCCATCTAAACGGGGAAATCTAACAATACTAGAAAAGTATCTACATTAAGCCCCCAAATAAACGCTGTATAACTACCTGCTTATTACCCGAGTCGGTAACAAGCGTGCTTACTGTTACCCTTATAGAGTTATACCCAAAGGCTACGGGTACTAAGATTAAATTAGCGAATATATTTAGACCTTACCCGTCCGAGAAACGCTCTATAGAAATAAAATCCATATCCGCGACAGAATGTAATTAAGGTTATTACATAATATTTCGTATCGTTCTACTTCTCTTGCTAATAGCAGTTACTAACTACTACGTTATTTACTATATAGTGATTATAAACCATCGCTATAATTCCCTCGCTAGGGAACGACCTGAGTAATTTTTATACCTATAAAATATAATGTTTATTCCCTTTAACGGTTGCGTTTCGAGTAGATATTGGCCCTTATAAATCGGCCATACGATAAAAGGTATAGTTAGGGACTTATTTAGCTAACTATAAGACGATGAACTAGTATCCCTTATAAAGACTTCGCCCTCTTAATTATTAGAGGCTCCTCCTTTTAAACCCCTAATCAACACTCTCCTACCTATAATATTATTAAAGTATCTCAATCTACTAATAAAATTTCTACTTAATCTAAGAACTCCTCTCCTCAGTCGTCGTTATCGTAACCGTTGAAACCCCCACCGGATTATACCCGAACGTTATTTATCCTCGTCTTTTACTTATACTATTTAAACTAGTAAGGACCACTCCTACAATTCGTACACTTACCCTCCTTCTTCCACCTATTCTTCTACTTCTAAAACGGCAATATCTTTAACGAAACTACCGAAATATTAATAGAAATATCTATAGAATTACTAGCGTTATTATTAACCGGGCTACTACCGTATCTCTATAAAGGGTGAAACAAGGAGGAGGCAATAACTAAAAGGAAATTATTACTATCAAAGGTACGCAAATACTTAAATAATAGCATATATTACTTAAACACGTCAGTTCAGTCTAAAAATATTATTTCCATTTATAATTCAAAATAATAGTAATCTAACTAACTTTAATAATATCTAACTACGAATCGGCTCGAGCACAATATAATACCTCTTCAAAGGGAACAATAAAGGTCGCTATCGACTCCTTAAACTTCTATTTAAATTAGGCATTTGCTCCGGCGGCCCCAGCCTTTGGCTACAGAGGCCCCAACCCTTATAGAGGCCCTGATCGGGTTAGGGTTTAACGTGCACATAGTTTTTTAAAGCGGTTTAATTTAACCAGATAGTAATTGTACAATAGCCTTCCCGTGTAAAATAATACCAAGCCCAGTCAACTAGTAGACCCTATATATACGACCCCCATCTTTAGACAGTTATTTTCAACCTTTATAATCTTCTTTCAATTCTCTCTTTACAACTAGACTACCTTTTTTTACTAGAATAGGCTAGAATCGACCGTACGTACGTAAATATTAATCGTATTAATTACTAGAATCGTTTGCTAATTTTCCTAAAGCCTCAAAACGCTACGCGCATTGCGTATAAGACTCTAGCCAAAATACCGCCGTAGGATCTAAATACGCCTATCGACCTTACCCACGAAGATATTAACAGCGACGACAATAATTTCACGGGTAACCAACCAATTCTTAATTAAGCCAATCAAGCTAGTTAAATCGATGAGGAGTAGGAAGGTTTCTCTAATAACGATACTTTCGTCAATTCTCCCAACGACTCTCCTAGCGACTCTCCTACAGCGTCACCTTGGGCCTTCTTCGCGATGGCCAATTTGAAAAGGCTCTAGATTTGCTGGATGAACTGGTGTACAGCGACCAATGGGTGCCTGCATGGATATACTTCCAGATCGGCGCCGAGGACCCCGCCGCCGTCCACGCTGGCGACTCCCTCCCCGCTGAGGAGAAGGCCCGCTGGGACAAGTAGAAGTAGGTTAGTATTAAGGAAGTAGGAGATAATAAGATATTCGATTCGATGTGGGTATATATTTATAAGTTCGATTAAACGGGGACAGGAGAATATGGACTTACTTCATGTTGGGAAGTTCCTTGAGTTGATTAAGGTGCTTGCCTCGAGAGTCGCGCATCTTCGGCATGGGATTCCCCTACCCTTCCCTCGGTCTCCATATCCTCCATATTTAGGTGAGAGTCCTGATTCAGAACAGAGTACCGTGCTACCGGCCCGGAGACACCTGTGCACTACAGTAAATACCTCTAATACCCCATGGAACAGATATAATTATCAATCTACCCACTAATGCTATACCTCCCTACGTATCGATTTAAAACTTTTATAAAGCGGTTAATAAGTAGGCAAAGTACTATAGTTTTACGGTTAATCGTAAAGACGGGCGCGGTATAAAACTTAGAGTCCTAGCTAACGAATATATATAATACTACCTCTTCTATAACCCGTTTAATCAATTGTGGAAATTAAAGGCAACGGTTCGAAAGATAGTATTATAGAAATGCGGTTATAATTACTATAGAAGGCTATTGTAAAGAAGGATTTAGAAGACGGACTCTAATATTTTTATTTATACTATAATTCTAATTACCGAGAACACAACTATATACGGTTATACTACCCTTCTACCTACCTTCAATATTGCAAATTAAAGCCCGACGTACTTAAGATTATCGAAGAGAATTTTAAAATAAATACTATACGAACTCGTAAAATTACTACTATTGTACGGAATAAGTACCCAGATATAGTATATATAAAGAAAGATATTTATAATGCGCGCGCTCATTTTCGCCGGCGTAACCTTAATGGTTATACCCCTACTAGTACCCTCCTTAAAGTATTTAACGATAATGATATCGATTATATTAAGAAGATAGATCTAAACGACGAGATAAGGTTACTTGGTATTGTATTTATATTCCTACGCTGTCTTTATATAGCTTATGGTTCCCTAACGTTATAATCGTCGATAATATATATAATATTAATCGTTTTAATTACCCCTTCTACTAAGTTTCAAGTATTATTAATATTAGTTCTATCTTCAACTATATTTTTAGTATTATTAACGACGAGAAGTAAGAAGCCTTCGATTTCCTTATTAATACTATTAAGGAATTAAAATTACGATATAATCTCCCTAAACCGACTATTATTATTACCGATAAATGTAAGGAAATAAAGCAATCGCTAGTAAAGAATTTTCCTTATACCCAATAATAATTCTGTTTATTCTATATTATTAAGAACCTCTTATATAATATTAAATTAAAGTAGAAGAAGTCAAAGAAGGTTAAAGACGATAATAACGAAGGCGAGGATGGCGATTCTAGCGACAATTCCGATAATGAGGAAGGTATTAATAAATAGGCAATTCCTATCTACTTTAATAACGACGATTATAGTTTCTATACCTCTATACGTAATAGTTTAACCCCTACCGATACTACAAATACTAACGATCCCTATAGTATTGTAAAGTAATTCAAACTCATAATATATGCCTATATAGAAAGCGAATTCTTTATTGCTTAGGAAGATTTGAACAAGCGGTTTATAACCTAAAAATTAATTCTTCGTTATATTTAGAAGAATTAGCTCCCTATTAAAAATTAATGGGTATATTACTATATTGAGCAATATAGAAATTTTGGTATTAGAGTTACCTCCTTAATTAAATTAAGTAATTTTGACGTTAGAAGCTACCTCCTTAACGGTAATAATAATATTTATAAATTGGTTGCCGCCGTTATTGAAATGGCTAATAAATAAAAGTTTACTTTGGTCGAAAAATTAGTAAAGAGTTAGACCCGCTAGAGATACGAATTTATTGCCCGCCCTTACTTAGGTAACTTGCTAATGCAAATTACGTATATTATATTAGAGATAATTAATTGTAAATATCTTTAAGTAAAGAGGAGCCGGCCAATAAATTAATAACCGAACCCTCCTCCCCTCCGCACCCAAATTTCAATGCTTGGCACGTTATTTTGATATAAAATAGCATTTACATAGTAAACTCTAGAGTGTTACGTAAACATGAAAAATCACAGCGATGCCCAATAACATAGTTTTGTATAGGGATTTCTATAGTATATAATATTTTACACATAGGATAGTTCTATAGTATTCATTTATACTACGAAAGACTATGGTACTAAACTAAATACTTGGTATAGTGTTTTAAATTCTACCTCTAGTATAATTGATTAGGTTTACTTATACGATTATTTCGTATAATTTTAGGGGTTAATAAAATTTAAGAGTCAACTACCCTACCTCTCTTACGTTTAACCGCTTGTTTAATAGGGGAGTTTAATTTTAATATAGCTATTTAAATAGAGTTTACTTCTAATTTTAGAGACGAAAACTCTAGTACAATTATTTCAATACAATTTAGTATTAGTTTTAGAGAGGACTACTATTACTTTAGCTACTCTAGAAACGAACCGAAATTGTATATTAGTTTTAGTTTTAGCTTTGGTTTTGGTTCTGGTTCTAGTTCTAGCTCTAGAGAGGGCTTTGTAGAGGGCAAGAATTCTAGTTATAGTTCCAATTCTAGAGAGGGCTCTAGAGAAATCTACTTTAAAGAGAGTTTTAAAGGCGGGAATTTTAAAGGTAGGAGTTTTAGAAGTGGGAGCTCTAGAGGTTCTAATATAGTTATTTAAATATAATTTAGTATTAGTTCTAGAAATGAAAGGCCAAGCTTCTAGTCGCTTCCCGATGTTGCTTCCGATTTGCTATTATAGTTTGAAATATTAGAATTAATTGGCTTCCTGTGACGAACGGCAGTCTTGATCTGCCTAAGTGAGATAGCTGAAGGTAAAGACTATCAAGTGCAGTTCGGTGAAGCCAAAAGGTTCACAACAAGTATCGCGTACGAGTTTCTGATGACGATGGTCTATTGACTACTGTCAAACTATCTGACAATCTGAGTTCTCCAGTCGTCCCTTTATATCCCACATGTCTGTCGTGGTGTATCCTGTTCTCTGGTACTCGCTGGCTCATCCTGAATTCCTGCTCACTTTGAGTTCTTGCTCACTCGTGAGCGCCCTTGGTTGACGTGCGCCCTCTGGTCCAATCCCCGTTTGGGGTTACACTGCCTTGTCTTGGCATGACTGTTGTGTCCCGATGGCTTGGTCGGCCCGTGTACTCGCTTAAGTTCGTGACACTTCCGTACGCGCTTGTATTTAGTACAATTGGGCGTAAGTTCGATAATATTATTATTATCGCTCTCCTAATAAAATAATTTACGTTGTATATTCGGCTATAAGCGTAGTAGGTTGTTAAGGTTGTTCTATTTAATAGGTTTAGCCTTTTTACTCCTTTTCTTACTCTTTAACGTTAGTATAGCCTTCTTACTTCCCTTCTTTAAATCAAGTATAGCTTTCTATTTAAGGGTCTCGAGAATTTTTAGGGTCTTCTACTTTATTTCTATAGGAAGGGCATGTTCGTTAAGGATAACTTTGGTAAAGTTCTTAAGGCGGCCTTTCTTTTTAGGAGTAATGCGAGGGTCTCTAAGACGAAGGTAGAAATTGTAGAAATCCTATTAAAAGAAGATTAGTTAATAATTATATATAGAATAATAAATAGGGTTATAGATAGGCGGAGTATATATAAGGGGCTCTTTATAATACTAACGAGGGTGTATATGAGTAAGGTTTAAGGTTTTTTCTATAATTATCCTATTTAATATAATATAACGATAAAGTAGTTTATATTAAGTAGGGATATTATATTTGTTATTGTAGGGTTCGAGGGTAAGCGGGTCTTTAAATTAGTCGGTTAGGATATACTTCTTTATTTAAAAGTATTTGTAATTAATTAATTCGAGGGCAACGTAACTAATTTATAATAGTAATTTACCTAAATACGTACGGTCGATACATTTTTATTGTTAGCGGGTTTATTAATGTACGATTTTTTCTTTGAAAGTCTAGTATTAATTAGTAATTATTTCTATAATAGTAATAACTAGTTTATAAATATTGTTATTACCGTTAAGAAATTAATTTTTAATATTAAGGTTGTTCGATTCAATTAGCAATGTAATTCTAATACTATAGTTCCTATACTTCTTAATATAATAATATACTTATTAATTTCTAATAGGGAGCCAATTCTTCTAGATATATTGAAGAATTAGTATTTAACCTTTAAACTATTTCTTTAACCTCTCCTAAGCTCCCTAAAACTCTAATTCGGTTTTAGCGTACATTATAAGCTTAAATCTAGTTATAATATTATTGGGATCGTTAGTAACCTTGGTAATTTTGCTTACAATTAGTTTATTAAGGGTATTGTTAGCTCGTACGGATGAATAAACCTTTTGATCAGTTAAATTAAAAGAAACCGGATTTTCCTATTTATTTTTACCCTCTTTATCCTTAGAGTTATTGTCGTCGTTATCCTTCTGTTTCTTCTACTTCTTTTTAGTGTTGAATAGAACGTTTTTAGTAATGTGGAATAAATAAAGCTATTGCTAGGTATTAAGGAATACTTTACCTAATACTTACTTTATTTCTTTATATTTATCTGTAATAATAATAGAGGGGGTTAATAGATTATATCGTAACTTCAATTTATAGGTAGCTTCGATTAAGAAATTAAAGGCTACCTCCTTTTCGTTGTTAATAATATTAAAAATATAATTAAATACTAAGCTAATAAAGGAAACGCTCGAAATTCAGTAAAAGGTATAATTAAACCGGTTAGTATTATACGTATTATTGATAATTATAATTTCGGGGAATATCTTAACTATCGATATATAGGCTAAGAAAGTAAAAACGAGGCCCAATAACCGTTCTAGGTCTTCTAGATCCATCTTCTTAATATATTTAAGATTATTATCGTTAAATAATTTAATTAAAATACCGGTAGGGGTATAATTATTAAAATTATACCGACGAATCTTTGCCTATATATTATATATATCAGCTTGTATATATACGGATTTAAAAAAGTCCTTTCGCACTATAATTATAATCTCTCGAATTCGTATAGCATTAAATTTAAAAATATCGTTAATCTTCTTAAAAATATTTAAATTTATTTTACAACATTAAAGGTACGCAAATAGGTATTAAAATTAATTGTGATTATAAATATAATAGTCTAGAGTAGAATATAATAAAAATACTAAAGATTATCCCTTTTAATATCCTTATTTATAAACCCTTTCTATTAATAATTACACTTTCGTAAGGCTATTTTTCGAATAGTTACTGTAGATTCGCGGGGTTTACTATAGTAGTTACAAATAATATAATACCGTATATAGTCTTTAACGGCGGCTCTAAGGTTATTGCGACCTTATATATAGTTAATTATAAATTTATAAAATTTCACCTATTCGTTAATAATTTCGTAAAGAGCTTTAATCGTAACTGTAGAAAATATAGTACGGTAGAGGGTAGATTAATAATTATATCCCTATAATTAAAGAATTCTTCGTATCTTTCGTCGTCGCTATCGGCCAACTCGGTACCTTTACGAGAAGGGAAATCGCGATTTAAATCAAAATTAAAATCGCTCTCTTACTACAGTAGTTATATTAAAGGGGGTAGACTAGGATTAGGATTAGGATTAGGACCAAGTAATTATATACTAAAATTAATACTAAAATCGCTATTATAGTTGTTAGAATCGCTAAAATCGCTAGGAGAATTAACGAAAGTATCGTCGTCAAAGAAGCCTTTCTACTCTTTAACGTTAATAAAGGGATCGCTATCGCTATCGCTATTAATATTATCGATTTGGGTAAGGTCGATAGCTACGCCGTCATCTAAATTCCACGGCGGTATCTTAAGAATCTTATACGCAATGCGCGCAATATTTTGAGGCTTTAGGAAAGTTAATAACTAGTTCTGGTGATTAATATAATTGATATTTACGTACGTGCGGTCGATTCTAGCCTATTCTGGTGATCAAAGGTAGCTTAGTTGTAAAGAGGGAATAGAAAAAAGGTTATAAAGGTTGAAAGGCATTTACTAAGTCTAAAAATCACTAAATCTAAAGATAGAGGTCGTACATATATGGGTCGTGCACATGGGGTCCACTAGCTGACTGGGCTTGGCACTGTCTTACACGGAAAGGGTATTGTATAATTACAGTAAAAAATATTTTACACGTTAAACCCTAACCAGATGGGTGCCCGTATAGGGATGGGTGCCCGTGTAAGACGACCCGGGTGCCCGCGGATGAAATGCCATAAATTTATAAGGAAAACGAAACGTAGCGGCGAAAACGACGAATAGCGCGAGCAAATAGTAGAATTACGCTTCTAAATTACCAATAGACAGGCCATCCACATAGTACGCATTTAAACCCCAAGTTTCAAACTCTTCTTTACTCCCTGAAAATTTTTCGAGGTAGGGGAGCACCGGTTTTCGGAACGGCGGCAAATCGAGAGAAGGGGAAGCTTTAAGAGAAGCGATCTCAACAATTAATTACTCGATGGAAGAGGCAAATTATCGTTATCGTTCCTAGGAATTCGTCGACCAGGCATTCGAGAAGTAGCTACTAAAACATCGTAGATAGGGTAGTCGCTTAGGGGAACGGGAGCGACCGCGGGGAGGGGAGACTCTTCGGGCGTACCTACGAGAGAAGGGTAACGGTATTAACCTGAAAAGAATGGTCAAATATAATGTAACGGGTCTAAACGAGTTGAGCACAGCGAGCAGTCGTGTAAGGTTGAAATGCTATATTTAATAAGGAAAGTAGGAAAAGAAGACTACACCAGAAGGGTACAATTGAGACAAGGTTTTAAGGTGCGGCGCACGGGCCAGGCAGGCCAGGCAGTCGGGTGGGTCCAACCAACCAGAGGGGGTGCATTGGCCTTGGCGCCGGCCAGCTGCATGCTATTGGCTTGGCAACAGCCAAGCTTAACCCCTAGGCTCTAGCCCTATAACATTTATAACCGCGCGCGATCTTTTCTATCGCTTCGCCTCAATTATACACTTTCATTCTAGCATTAGCAATAAAGGTTCAAGTCAGCCTTACGACTTCGATTCGATCGACTCGCCGCAACGAATTTACTAATTTTTATTTAGATTTTACTCTTTATTTAATTTTACGCTTCGTCGAATTAATATTAGCGCCGGCGCGGGTACCGGTATTAATATCGGGAATCTTAGTACCGGTATTAGCAATATTAGAAATCCGGGTATTAGGGAATCGTTATCGTTATTTCTATCCTTAGCCTTTTGCTATACTTTCTATCAAACATCATGAACTCTTATGGTGTTGAGCCTCATTAGCCTCGTGAGCAGAGCCTCACAAAGTACTAGTACATGGGTAGACAAGGGTGTCTCAAGGGTAGACGAGGCAAGCGGATATAAAAGGAAGCGTTATATCTTGGACTAGAGGGCTCTAGAGGGCAAAAAATGTGTATATATATATACTATAGAGAAGACTAGAGAAGAAAGGGAAAAGAAATGTAGAGGGCTAAAATACAAAAGGGTGTGAGGGCATGGACCTATACGATAAGATAAGAGAGGGGTGGGGATATAAACCCACCCGACAATACGCTCCCGTAGCCCGAAATAGCTTATAGGGACTCTCATAAGTAAACAAACAATAAAACCATAGTATTGAGGCTCTTAATTACCCCAAGGAACCTTCCTAGCTTCTAAACCTAATATTAATACAAATTTGCTATACTTATCCGCTTTTAATGGTTTCGTTAAGCCGTTTACAATTATGTCCTTTCCTTTAGTATCAATAATATTAAATTCCTCCGCTTCGACGTTCTCAATAATCTATTTAAATTTAATATTTATATACTTATTCCTCCCGGGTACTTTACGATTAAATACCCTATCCCTTATATTCTTCCTATCTATATATAGTATTTTCAACGGCGGTTGAGTATACCCTAGCTCTTTTATTATATACGTAATCTATTATAATAATTTTATAGTTGGAACCAAATTTGTAAATTCCGCCTCTATTATATTAGTTATTACGAAAGCTTACTTTTTTAACTTTTAAAAAATTAGTCCCCTAGCTAGAAATACTATATAGCCGCTAGTATTATAACGAGTCGCTAAGTCGTCTATAAATCAAGTATTGTTAAATATTTTTAAATCTATACTCTAGGGTAAGATTCTCCCTCCTAAAACGATGCCCGTATCCCCCGTCTTAGTTAAATAACGAAAGAAATTTTTCATTATAGCTATAGAGCCAATTATTAGTGTCGTATTAGCCTTATATAATTTATTAACCGTAAAGGTAATATTTAATCGTATACCTATTAATAGGTAATTTAAACTACTAATCTTCTTTATATATTTCTTTTATTGCTTTGGTAATTCGTCCTTAGTCTTATGATCTCTAATTTTAGTTTCTTGAGGCAATAGCGTATTAATTCCGTATAGATTATTGTAATTAAATTTCTTAATTAAAGATTTCGTATACTTAATTTAAAATATAAAAATTATTCTTTCTTCCCTATTCCTTACAATATCGAAGCTTAAAAAAATCTTTACCTCCCCCAAATACTTAAGCTTGAAAATAGGTTAAGAGTTTATTTTTAATATCGAAGATAATTGTTTTAAAGGGTATTATAATAAGGAGGTTATCGACGTAGAGTACTAGTAGCGCTCCCAACTTTTCATTATTGAATAAATAAATATTATTACTTACCGGTACGAAACCTAGGCCTTTTAAAATTAGTAAAAGGGTTTAAAACTAATATAAAGGCGCTCTCTTAAATCCGTAGAACGCTCTTCGAAGTAAACAAACTAAGCGATTTCTCCTATCCCGAAATCCCTTCTTAAGCCCTATCGGTTTATCCCGAAATCCTTTTCAAATTCTATTAGTTGCTTAACGTAGTATTTCTTATTTAAGGGTATTTGGGCGTTCAGGAATATTATATTAAAATCAAATTGGTAATAATCTAAATCTAGTACTACTATAATAGTTAAAAATATTTTAACGTTTACCGTATTAGTTATTATAGCGTAGACTTCTTCTAAATCCTAAGAGCCTTAATACGCTACCTATTTAACTCTAACCTCCTTTATTTTTCAACTCGAGGTTTTCTTGCTTATTATAAACCTACTTTTTAAATAAAATTATTATTTCCGGGGTAATTAAAATTAGTTTATAGACTCCCCTATCTTCTAAGATTTGAATTTACTTCTTTATAATAGGTTTTTCATAATCCTTAAAGTTTAGTCGCTTCCTCGCTTAATTATAATTCTTAAGAATACCCGGGGAAACTTCGAAGTTATATATTATTTTAACCGCCATGAAATATAATAATTCAATATTTTATTAAATAACCCCTTTTTTTTATAAACTAAAGTAGAAGGAAGGAATTATTAAATTACTATATACGTCTCTCTAAATTGTACAATTACTATTAACTACCCTTATTTTATTAATTATATTTATTAATATTAGTATTATTCGTCTTCGCGGTCTACTAGAAGCCGTCGTTGATAGCGCTTATTTTAGTACCGCTACCGAAATCTCCGGTACCGTTATTAGAACCTCCGGTACTATTATTGGGATTTTTAGTATTGAGGATATTCTAGGTTGCTCTATTATTGAGAGACCGACTCGGCGGGCAGTGTCACTTTTCTCCGCGGGCAGTCCCATAGTAATCCCTAACCCTGTGATATTCCGTGTGGTTTTGAACATCCTCGTATTATTCTAGTGACATCTAGTAATGATTTCGTAGTATTGAACGTTCTATTATAATTTAATGAAATAAGATCTAAGTACTACAATTGTATTTATACGTAAAATTTAACTATTTAACTCCTACTTACTCCCCCACCTTCTTTCTTGAAGGTTTTACCGTTCTACCGCTTCTAATTACAGTTAGCGTTAACGAAGGTACTAACGAAGGTACTACCGAACGTATTATAGTACGTTTTTTATAGGCAGGTTATTCGTTAGAATTTGATAAGATCGAGGGTATAAAGATTAGAGGAACCTCGCTACTTAAATAGAAGAATTTGGCGAAGAGGGTTCTTGCACCTTAATAGTAGAACTAATAGTAAAAGCCTTAATAGTACTCTCTTTACCTATACTAACCTTATTAACCGTTTCGAATTAGGATTATCGCCGGCGGAGCGATAGTTTTAATATCTAATTACTCTTTCCCCCGTTGTTTATTCCCTTCGTTATTATTTTCTTAATTACTTTCCCCTTTCCCTTCCCCTTCCCTTTTCCTCTCCTAGACCCGTTATTAAGAATTTACTATTCCTTAGGTAATACGATTACGCTATTCTTCGGCCGCCCTTTAATTTTATCGGCTATTTTAGGGTCCTTAAAATCAAAATAAAATTATATTGATTCTAACGTATATTAATATAAATGAAAAGGGAATAGAGGTAAAGGGGATATTATATATTAAAGGCGTTCGGATATAATAACGATAATGGATATCCTAGCGGCCTAATTAACTTTTAATTTTAAGCTTTATTAATGTTTTGTAATAGTAGGGGATATTATATTGTTTTTGAATAATATAATTATATTCCCCTAAATTACGTACTAATCTTTTCTTTATATTTAAAGATATTCTAAATAGAATAATATATAATTAAGAACGTATAAAATTAAGACTATAATATATAATTCGTTGGGGTAAATCCCTTAGGACATAAAACCTTTTATTATTAGTAAATTCGTTACTTATTTTAATATTCAATTAATTACATTTTTTTCTTACTAATTACACTCCCTTTTATATATAAAGAAATTACTCTTACCGTTAATTAAAAAATTCTTAATCCGGTAATTAATCGATTCGTTAAGGGAAGTAATTATTAAA